CGTCGTGGCGTCACCTCCACGGAGTTTTGGGCCTGGGGCGAGAGTTGCCTTCGGGCCAGCCCGGGTTGGTGGGTCCCACACCCCCCCCGGGCCTGGGCTGCATGGCTGGAAACGGATTTTTGTTTTTTTCCCCCCTCCCCTCGGGCTGGGCTGTGCTGCTGGACTTGCTCTAAGAGGGAGCATGATTCTAGTCTTTTTACAGGAGTGAAAACCTGACCGATATGCGCAAAGAGTGAGGTAAGGAGACTGAGCTTTGTTTTTTCTATTTTGGTACAAGGGAAAGGTGAACGGTGAGGAAGGCTCAGTTTTTGTTTTTCGTTTTTTCTATTTTGGACAAGAGAAGAGCCATGAAAGGGCACGAGGCACAGTTTTGTTTTCTGTTTTTTTCTAGGTTTGTTTAAGGGCGTAGGACCAAAGGTGGCTCACAGTTTTTCTTATTTTCTTTTGCAGACCTCAAGTGGCATAGCAAACTTCCAAGCTTGAACCTCGGCTGCCCAAGCAACTTGCTTTATCTTCTTTCAACTTGTTTTAACATTCTAACAATCTGTTTAGCTGCTCTGATCCAATCCACTAGCAAATGGTAAAATTGTACAAAGTGAATCCATCGCCCATTCAAGAACCTTTTAACCTGAAAATCATTGAGGTAAAACAAATTTAATTTGTCAAAGATTCAATGGAGTCCACTTTGATAATTAATGTCTCTCGGAGCTGTGCCTTAATATGTTCGCAATTTCTCTTTTATCACATTGGCATGATTGGAGAATCTAAATTCAGAACCTTGAATAATGGTAAATGCTCTTGATCAATAGAGCTGCAAGCCCTCACAATGTTAGGATCTTTTTAATTTTGATTCTTCATAGAGAAATTATGAACCCTTTATGGGCAGAAAAAACTTTTTTGCAACGAGAATAACACTGTTTTGCTATCTCTGACTAATAATATAATGACCTGTGTAAAAATTATCTTGCGTGTCATTGCACTATTCCCGAAAGCAGAATGTTATTCCCATTACATAAAAGTCTCTTTCATTTGCGAGGGACACCTGACACCCTAATAATCTCTCTCAACTCCAGAACTACTTGTAGTTAGTTGATAGTGATTAGTCAACTTTGAATCACGATATCTTTTACATTTGTTGGGGTCCTATAAACTAGGCTTGGTAGGCTTAGCCAATGCTTTTTAGTCAACACGCGGCTGGTAAGCGGTGCAGTTCATGCCATCATTCTGGTAAGAGCAGCCAACAAACTAATACACCTGCATGCATCAGATCTTAGCCAACATCTCATGAATAGGCACTGTCGGTTTTAACATTAAATTGAAATTCATTTTAGTTTTTTTGAAGGTATTTCAAGCAACCATATAGCAAATAAGATCAACACAAAAGCAGGTTCGAAGGTCATTTGGCAGTGAGACTCAGTTTTCACTTTATTTGAAGAGGTTTGGAGTTCAAATTTTATAGAAGACAATTGTTGAATAAAATAAAATAATCGAGTTAAAAGTATAATATCCACACAACACAATTTATTAAGTATAATATCCAACTCATTATTAAGGCTCCTTTCCCACCGACCATCTAAAGTGTGGCTAAAAGTGACCAAGTCATGAGGTAGGTACCAAAATACGATTAGTACTCATTATGCCAAAAATTGGCTTTAGCAACACTATATTGGCATCAGTAAAACTGAAAATTAATGCTTTTAAGTATATTAGACATCGCTTTTATGAATTAAGATGCTAAAAGGTAAAAAGACTTCAGCACAAATATTTTGTTTTTATTAGCGATGCCTTGATGCCAATTTAGCATCGGTTCTAACGACTGATGCCTAAAGTGTTTCTTTTCTTTTCATTTTTTTGATAAAGTGGGGGGCTTTTTTTTTGGAAGCACTGATGTTGAAAGTATAGTCAACGCTCCTGCAAAAAAATTTCATGCTCCCTCTCCTTTTTTCAGACTCTCTCACAACCTTGGCTCCTCTCCCTAGCATTTTTTTCTATCCCTCCCAAACTCGCTTGCCATTTTTCAGCTTCTATCCCCTGAAAAAAAAAAAAAAAAAAAAAAAAAAAAAAAAACCTCACTTTGTTTGGATCTCCTCCATCTAGACACTCGAAGTTTGGCCATAGGCAAGACGCGTGGACAAAAGAAGGCATCGGCAAGGTATCGGCAACAACAGAAGGAGTCTGAATCGACAGACCAATGAGAGCAAGACGCATGGACAAAAGAAGGCATCTGCAAGCAACGGTGGATCTAGAATTTTTTTAAGGAAGGGGCAATATTTCAAAGGTTAAGAGCTTAACAAAACAAAAACAACCAAATAACCTGATAATTTAAACGATATTTAAAAGGCTAAAAACACAATATTAATCATATTAACCGATTCACCATATTAATCATTTAATCAAACCACAACAATCTTTATTAATTAATTAAAAACTAAAAATATATACAAATAAATAAATTCAAAAAAATCTATACAAAAACCAAAACAAAAACTCAATCAATTAACCAAAACCTAACAATCCATCTTAATTAATTAAAGCATAAAGAGAAATTACTTTGAAATTTGAGAGAGAAATTAATTTTCCAAACAAACTGTGGAGGGTTGGTTCATTGGTGGATGGCTTATCTGTTCTGATTTAGGAGTTGCCATGGCTTATGCCCACTTCACAACCCTTCTTTTGCCTCTAAAAACAAATGGGTTTCTACCAAATGAATCAAAGAATACAAAGAGGGAGAGAGATCCTTTCATGGTTTCGTAGCTGAATGAAAGTAATGGAATTTACTTGTACTAATTTGAGAGAGTGAGAGATAGTCAATGATAATGAAAAAAGCACAAAGAGAAAAGCTAATGGATGATGGAGGCAAAGGAGGATTGAGAAAAAAGGAATGTGGTTGGGGAGTTGGCCGGTGTGGGTAATGGTGGTTCAGGTGTGGATGGGTAAGGTTAAGAGTTGGGGATGATAGGGTTTATTTGGGATATCCAATTTCGATTGAAACTCATTTGAGGTTGGCCCTTTCTTTTTATTTTATTATTATTATTTGTTTTTTGTTTTCACTTGGACCAAAACTATGCGTTAACATTTT